CAGCTCGGGTACGGATCTCTGCTTTCAGTAGTACGGCCCATACTACCTCCACATCTATCCGTACCTTCTCCGAGGAATTCCTCGACTCCACCAGCTCCCCTTTACTACTGCTACTCTCTGTTATTCTCATAAGGCTTGCCCTAGGGAAAACCCAAGTTCAACCAACTGGTCCTCAGCTGCTGTAGGTCTCCTCATAATGCCAGTTAGCCACCACCTAAACACCATCACATGTGATGAGGATTAGATAATCCTTCAAGTAAAGATCGTCCCTACAACGGTTGGACTCAAACAAGAGCTGCGCAATAGGGCCAGTTCCAACACTTTGGGATTATTCAACCCTGATTACATGTGGTGTGACGTGTTTACCTAGTGGCTCACTCCCATTACTCAGAATCCCACCAAGCACGAAGCAAGCAGCATTCGGATAAGGAAAAACAGACTCAAGCCAAAACTGTTCTTAGAACAAGAAACGACACTTAACATAGGATGCTAAGCTCATACTATCAGGCATAACCTAAACAGGCTATCCTACTGCTGTCTACTCAATTCTAGCATGCAATATTCATAAAGCTGTAGCAAATAAACAGGCACATAAGGCATCACTCCTAGATCCTTAGCCTATTCTAGCATGCAATATTCATAAAGCTGATAAACATAACATAAACTTGTATGGGTACTATGGGAATACTTACTTGAGCTCGGCCGGTCGCGCACGTCACACACTTTACTCTTTCTTGTGACTCTTTCCGGGTTTTAAAGAACAATTTCTTTTGGAAAAATCTTTCAATCCCTCGATTTGAGTCCAAACACTCCCGAAGGCGTGTCCGAATCCCTCAAACCAGGGCTCTGATACCAACTTGTAACGACCCAATTTTTACGTCCGAAAATTTCATTTTTAAGGTATTACTTTAGAAAACATTAATAAATAAAAACATTGTTTGTTCACACCATAACACATCGCAACCATGTTCTAAAAAGTCAAACCATACATCCCATCAAAATATCAGAGTACAATCCCAGTAAATCTCATAAATGCGGAAACCGAAGAGTGTGTGTATGACGTGCCGCTACCGCGCGGCTCCTTCCCCTTCGATGCAGAGGTACCTGAAAACAAAACTGTAAACGTAAGCACAAAGCTTAGTGAGTTCCCCCAACGTACCGCATACCATACAAACACATAACATACGTACTGCCAGGCTATTCTGGGGTGCCTGACTACCCGGTACGGCCATTCTGGGGTGCCGACCTACCCATACGGCCATTCTGGGGTGCCGTCTTACCCGTGTCAAGCCATTCTGGGGTGCTGACTACCCATGTCAAGCCATTCTGGGGTGCTGACTACCCATCGGTCCTAACAACCGATCCTCGGGACTATTTCACCCCCTACTACTACGATCACATATAACATAACAAGCCAGCATGCAAACATATCATCACATACTGTCAGACGTATTGGGGTGTCTGACTACCCTTTGGTCCTAACAACCAAACTCTACTACTATCACATACAACATATCATGCTAGCATATAACATATCAGGTAGTAGCAAACTTAGATGATATCACAAAGACAATCATCTATCATACATCTCCTACTGGTGGGTCGGCATTGTGGCCTTAGACCCACTGCTACTGGAAGGTAACTCACCTCAAAGTAGCTGCTGAACTGATCGGAACTAACTGACTGTGCTGCTCCGGGAGTCCTCCGGCTGCAATTCCCACAACATACTCAATCAAACACTGCTAACTGACCTTTAGGTAAAATGACCATTTTACCCCGGTCTAGCTCTAAGCCAAAGCTAGAGTCAACTTTCAGTTGACCCGACTCGCCGAGTGGATCACCACTCGCCGAGTCCCTAGCAAACCAATGTCCTGGGTCCCTGGTTCTACTCGTCGAGTCGGGCTATGACTCGACGAGTTCACCTTCTAACTGTCGTTCAACTCCTTCATCCTACTCGCCGAGTTGCATGAACAACTCGTCGAGTTCATCTTCATCCGATGAACACTTTATGCTAAGACTCGCCGAGTTGTATGAACAACTCGCCGAGTCTGTTCTTGATCTATGAAGATTGCCTTGGACTCGCCGAGTCAGGGCATTGACTCGCCGAGTCCTAACATGGGTGAGTTCAGCTCCCAACTCACCGAGTCACCCCCTGTGACTCATGGCTCAACTCGACACATGAAGAAGGGACCAAATCGGTGACTCGCGACCAGACTCGCCGAGTCACCTATGCGACTCGCCGAGTCGTCGCCATGCATCCACCAAATACACAGATTTACTCGGTTTCAGTCCATGCCATTCATAGATCTGGACTTCTAGGACACAAATCACACGTAAAGTTTCCAACTTTACGTGTGGACATTCACTAATGTGGATTTTAGGGTGCAAAATGCCTCAAAAGGGTAGATCTAGGATGAACAAGCCACATGGGGCCATAAAGCTCACAGATCTGAGCTCCTGGAGCTCAATATTGCCTAGATCTAAAGGTTAGTCCACTTATTACGAGTCCTTAAGCACAAACAAGCTTGGAGAATTGCTCAAGAGTGTCCCAAATGACATCCTAAGCATAGAAACAGGGGAAAACGAGATATACCTCAAGGAAAATGTTGAAATGACACAAAGATGGCCGATCTCCTTCTCCTCTTCTTGATCTACTCCTCTTTCTCCTCAAAACCTTCAAGAACACACCAAGAACACCTCAATCTCTCAAGGAAACAAGGGAAAACGATGTTGGGGGAGTTCTGGGGGTGAATGGGGACGAGTTGGGGCGGAATGAGAGTTTAAATAGGGTGCAAACCCTTGAAACTTAGGGTTTCATCCAGCAGCGGTGACTCGCCGAGTCCAGGATGTGGACTCGCCGAGTCGCCTACTTAAAACGTGTCCTGAGTCTCGTCCCTACTCGGCGAGTCGGACCCTATGACTCGCCGAGTCCAAGGCTAAATTAGGGCAATGCTCAAATAAAATTCACATACCGGAAACCAGGTGCTACAACCGGAGGGTCCAACCCGAGTTGTGAGAACGGAGGATCCTCATTGAGACACATGAGCCAGAGGGTCTTGATGAGATATAGCCATGAGAGGCTAATTATTTTCGTGTGGTATTTTGGGGAACTCACTATGCTTCGTGTTTACCGTGTTGTGTGATATGTGTTTCGGGTACTTCTCAGGATTGCGGGAAGGCTCCGACTTAATTGTACACACCAGTTAGAGATAATGATGTTGAGGATTCTGGGATTTTAATAAACATTTGTTGAATTGTGTTTCAACAACTTATATATTTTGTGGTCTTTTTGGAAATGTGATATTGAGTTATGTGATTTTAAAAATGAAAAATTTATTTGTAATTTTACAGTGTTATAGGATAGAAGCCCATGCGTGGAAGCCGACGTGGCATCCTAAAGACTAGTGAACACCACCCTAAGGGTTGGTGGCTTGGGTGTGGCGTGAGTGCAAGGACTGGCCAAGATATCCAATCACAAATAATCAACAAGAGTATGGCTTTCATCTATTTTCTTTTTAATTGTAGTTACATATATGGTTCCTAAAAATGTATCTTTGTTTCTCGTTATACCCTTATATTTATCTTTAAATTAAATTAATCTTTCGACTCTCTCTCTCTCTCTCTCTAAATATATATATATATATATATATATAAGGTTTATTTTTCTATGTTTTTAATATATATATATATATATATGTGTGTGTGTGTGTGTTCTAAATTAAGTTTCTATTTAATTTAATAATAAAAAAATAAAAAATAAAAAAAAGATAATGGTGAAGTGGTGACCATTTTCTATATGTACTAGGTTGGTGGTGAAGATGATGTGGAGCAGAGGTGACACCACTTTTTCGGTGGGTTGGAGGTGACCAATCCCCACAGCCTTAATGTGTATGTTTTTTACACACTTTCCCAAGCAGTATGTACAAGATCATACACATTATGTTTTTGAAAACTTATTTCAAAGTGCTATTAACAAGAATCTAAGGCTCTGATACCATTGTTGAATAATAAGGTGTTCTTCTTCTTCTTCATAAGAAAATAGTTAATTAAAAAGTAAACAAATAAGCATTTAAGTCAAGAACGTATATAACTAAACATTAGATCATGATTATTTCTATTAATAGAAACCCTAACCCTAAAAAGAGGTTTACGAAATGCCTTTAAGAAATGCGAATAAGATTGAGGAACTCAAACAAGAGTCCTTTGATAGGATCATAACCCTTAACCAGCAAACAAGCAAGAACCCTAGCTTTGGAGACTTGAGAATTTTGACCACCAAGAAACATGTGTTTTGTTTTCTTTAGGTTGTTGTTGTTGCCCAAAGATGAGGACAGGAAAAAGGGTGGATGACTTTATGGTTTTGAATAGACCCTTGAAACCCTTATGCTTGCTCCTTTTATATAGTTGGTGGGAATATTATCATTTCTAAATTTGAATCAAGGATAAATTATTTTATTCATTAGTAATTATCCTTTAGAATTAACTATTATGTATTCAACTAATTTATATAAATCTTTTAAGCATAATTATTTAGTTTCCACCAATTAATTTCTAAATATTAATTAACAATTTAAAAAATAGTAAATAATTACAATCACTTCCAATTATTTACAAACACTCATTAAATAATAAATTAACTCCCTCTTAATTTATTTGTCAATGTTTTTATCTTGGGTCAAGTGGGTAACCCATATAGGCTCAAGTAATTAATTTGGATACGAATATGTTGTGCAGTGGCCATGTCTCCAACAATATAAGAGTCCAAAAAAGAAAATCAGAAGATTACCCCAATAATATATAAAAATAAAAAGAACCATCAGTTATCCTTTATACAATAGAAATAAGAAACTTGAAAAGAAAAATATTAAAGCTACAATACTCTTATCACCCTCTTCGGGCGACAAACAATTGTACTTTTGTTTTTACGTTTCCATTATATAACCCTTCAAGCTCTTTTTTCAAGGATAGGATGAACCACAAGGATGATGTGGAAAAGAAATATTTGTAACAAAAAGATTGATGAAGTTCAGTGTATCATTTAGGAACTTATTGAAATGGAATGGTTGTGGATGAACAACTTTTGAAACATCCCCTTAAGGAACCTTCTTAATTAAACTCGCAGTAAAAAAACCTACATAAATAAATATGATGTTGTTATGAATGTGTCATGTATTTAAAGTTTTGTAATAATGTTGGGAATGTTTCATGATATCGAAAAAGAAATAAAAAATATACTTACATGGTTGTATCTTGCAAACAACAAAGTTATGGGAGTCTAATAATTAGTTGGGGGTGGAGGAGAACCATAGATATATACGGGCGAAAAAGGTGATTTTAGTGGTGGAGGGGGAGATATGTAGTGGTAAGGAGGTGGTGGTGACTTAACCGGTGGTGGGGGTGATGTGTAATGGTATGGAGGTGGTGGAGATTTCACAGGTGGTGGAGGTGATGTGTAGTGGTAAGGTGGCGGTGATGACTTAACTGGTGGTGGGGGAAAGGTATAGTGGTAAGGTGGAGGTGGGGATTTAACTGGTGGTGGAGGTGATGTATAGTGGTATGGTGGTGGTGGGGACTTAACTGGTGGTGGTGGAGAGGTGTAGTGGTATGGAGGTGGTGGAGATTTCATAGGTGGTGGAGGTGATGTGTAATGGTATGGTGCTGGTGGGTACTTAACTGGTGGTGGAGGTGAAGAATAATGGTACGGTGGTAGTGGAGATTTAACTGGTGGAGGAGGCGATGTGTAGTGGTATGGTGGTGGTAGGGACTTAGTTGGTAGAGGAGGTGAGGTGTAATGGTATGGTGGTGGTGGGGACTTAACTGGTGGTGGTGGTGAGGTGTAATGGTATGGAGGAGGTGAAGATTTCATGGGTGGTGGAGGTGATGTATAATGGTAAGGTGGTGGTGGGGATTTAACCGGTGGTGGTGGTGATATATAGTGGTATGGTGGTGGTGGTGACTTAATTGGTGGTGGAGGTGAGGTGTAATGGTATGAGGGTGGTGGAGATTTCACGGGGGGTGGGGGTGATGTGTAATGGTATGGTGGTGGAGGGGATTTTACCGGTGGAGGAGGTGAACTGTAGTGGTATGGTGGGGGTGGAGATTTCATTGGTGGTGGTAGTGATGTGTAATGGTAAGGCGGTGGAGGGGATTTTACAGGTGGTGGAGGTGAAGTGTAATGGTATGGTGGCGGTGGATATTTCACGGGTGGAGGTGGTGAAGTGTAGTGATATGGTGGGGGAGGCGATTTCACTGGTGGTGGAGGTGATGTATAGTGGTATGGAGGAGGTGGTGACTTAACAGGAGGCGGAGGCGATGTGTAATGGTATGGCGGTGGCGTAGATTTCACTGGTGGTGGAGGCGATGTGTAGTGATAAGGTGGGGGTGGTGACTTCACCGGTGGTGGAGGTGATGTGTAGTGATAAGGTGGGGGTGGTGACTTCACCGGTGGTGGTGGTGAAGTGTAATGGTATGGTGGTGGTGGAGATTTCGCTGGTGGTGGTGGTGAAGTGTAATGGTAAGGTGGGGGTGGAGATTTAACCGGTGGTGGAGGTGATTTGTAGTAGTATGGGGAAGGTGGTGATTTCTTAGGTGGTGGGGGTGATGTGTAGTGGTACTTGGTAGGAGTCTTCACTGGTGGTGGAGGGGAAGTGTAGTGGTATGGTGGTGGTGGAGATTTAACCGGTAGAGGAGGAGATGTGTAATGGTATGGGGGAGGTGGTGATTTCTTGGGTGGTGGGGGTGATGTGTAGTGGTATGGAGGAGGTGGTGATTTCTTAGGGGGTGGGGGTGAAGTGTAGTGATATATCGGAGGAGACTTAACGGGTGGAGGGGGAGACTTGTACAAGTAAGTGGGTGGCGGTGGTGGTGGAGATTTGTAATAATATGGAGAAGGAGTGGGCTCTGGTTTTGGCTTTGGCTTCTCACAAAGCGTAGATAGAGTCTTAGGAGCATATGCAAATGGTTCAGCCTCAAGGACAACCTCATAAGCATTTTTGGATTTGACCTTTAGCACGGCACCCTTCAAACCACCATGAAGATTTGTTGGAATATTACATTTGGTTCCTTTTGGTGCCATATGAAGCTTAGCGGTACAAGCTTTTGCTCCTCCATACTTGGAATAGTCTAAACCGTCAACCGTAATTGCATATTTGCCATTGATCTTAGTCTTTCTATATGCAAAAATTTCTTTCTGGCCAATAGCCTTGCAAGTAATTTCAACAACAGCATCTTTTTCAACACAAGTAAAAAAAAAAAGTCAACTTCACGTATATTTTTTGGTCCACCTTTTGTAATATACCAATTACTACAAAATTAAAACATGTTATGCTATGCATGATATGATTTCAGGTATAAATACTTAAATTAAATAAATATTATTAACTCTTATACAAAATAATCATAAATATATAACTTATAATGTAGCCTTTCATAAAATGAATATGTTGAAACCTTAGCATGGTATCTTTATTTATTTTTATTTTTTTTGAAGTATTATAATTTATATGGTAATGGTATAATAAGTAATCAATATATGATTATATGTCTTAACAAGTTAACTCAAAATTGAAATTTTAGAAAATTAAAGTTTCATTTTCTCGGAAATATACACATCTTTCATTTTGATGTTTTTTTTTTAAATTTTAAAATGCAAGATAGTAAACGAATAAAATCAAAAGATAAGATAGATATTTTCTGAACATTAATTGTCTATATGTCTAAATGTATCGTTAGGTAAAAGAGATGTAGAAAACCAGAAACATAGAACATGGGTCAACCATAAAAGAACATGCACACACATCAAAGTCATATATATAAAACAGTTAAGGTAGTGCGAGAAACTAAAGTTTATACCTTTGAGGTGATGCTTGGCGTGTGATTTAATTGGGTATTTCCAGTCATAGCAGCTGTAGCAGTAAACTTTGCCAACGACCTTTACGATGAGTTTCTTGTGGTGAGGGTAAGGTACGGGGTAGTAGGATTTTGGTGGTGGTGGAGAAGTGTAGTAATAGTGTGGGGGAGACTTTGTTGGTGGCGGTGGGGATTTGTAGTAGTAAGGTGGTGGTGGAGAATGCACCGGTGGAGGTGGAGACTTGTAGTAGTATGGTGGTGGTGGTGATTTAACTGGAGGTGGTGGAGACTTGTACAAATATGGTGGTGGTGGTGAATGCACCGGTGGAGGTGGAGACTTGTACAAATATGGTGGTGGTGGTGAATGCACAGGTGGTGGTGGAGACTTGTACAGATATGGTGGTGGTGGTGATTTTACCGGAGGTGGTGGAGACTTGTACAAATATGGTGGTGGTGGTGAATGCACCGGTGGTGGTGGAGACTTGTACATATATGGTGGTGGTGGTGAATGCACCGGTGGTGGTGGGGACTTGTACAGATATGGTGGTGGTGGTGAATGCACCGGTGGTGGTGGGGACTTGTACAGATATGGTGGTGGTGGTGAAGAATAGATATAAGGATCAGCCGAGACAGCTATAAGGTTAGCAACACCAAAGACGGTTAATGCGATGACTATAGGCCATAAAGGGGCCCTTAACGGGACACCGGTGGTAACTCTCATGGCTCACCCGTAGTTAGAGAGGATGGGGTTGAGGGAGGGAGGTTATGCTTTTGGATATAAAGCTGAGAGGTATAAATAGCAAGTAACACGAAGAGAATATGTCAGTAATTTGTATATTAAAACACTTGTCAACGCTGCCAAGGCCACTAGGCCACATTCTTTTTTTTAAGCGCTCGTTCTCAAGAGTACTCGGACATTTATTTGGGTTGACATTAAATTTATTTTATCTCAAGCTTAACCTTGAACTATTCAATAAACGAGCTTTATATATTTGACTTGTTTTCATTTCAATAAGCAGTCACTGCGAATCAGAATATACACACCTTAATGTTAGACCATGATTTGATTTTACATTGTTTTAAAAATAATGTTCAAGGCATTTAAGGATTGAGACTACTGTGAAGGTTTGACATTCAAAAAGATAAATTTCGAAGGATATGGTTTCTGTGTCTGTATTAAGTGATTAATATAATTCTTTTGTCTGTTTGCGTTTGTACTGGTGCATTTATTTATAAATTGAACTTTATTAAGTGCATAGAGTTTAAATGGAAAAGGCATTGTTTGTATTTATCACCATAAACTTACAAACTTGAGTGCTTATTTCTCTTAGCTAGTGAATAGTAGACCAAGGATAGAGCTATCCTGGGACTCTTTCCTAATTTCAACGTGGTTTCTTTTATAATTTAGTAGTTTACCCTTCAGTAATATATCATATGCTAAAAAAGTTCGAAATTAAAATGTATATGATACATTTTATCACTTGGTAAAACTCCTAAACAAAAACGGTATAAAACATATATACATTAGAAAAGTAGGAAATAAATAACGTTATTTCACATGTCAAATATATATTTATAATATTATCTTTCACATATATTTGGATGCTAATTAAACATAAGAAAACTTTAAGCTGTAAAAGTTGTGATGTACTACTTATAATACACCCTTACGGAGACTCCCATTTTTACTTACTTTCCTAACACATACAAAAAGTGATACTAATTATTTTAAATGGATTTATTTTTTAAAACCATGTGTCATGCTCCTGATGTGTGGTGACACTTGAATGAATTTTCTTAATCAGCTTTTTCTCAGTAAACCCAATTGGAGAGGATTAGTGCGATTGATACGATCAAACTAGGTGCAACACTTGCACTTTTCGAGTGAGTGCCCGCTCCGGTAGAAGAGAAGGAAGAAACTATGAAATTACGGATAATACGTGAAGAAGGAGAAGAAGTTTTAATTGTATTACTTATCGATACAAAGAACATTCAAGGGTATTTATGGTACATATTCAGCTAACTATTGAGAGATAATAGGAATTATACAACAGAATTTGACTGAAAAATACATGTGATAAATTTGATAAAATAAGTTGATGTATATCGGATTATATCTCGATATGCCCCCGCAAGATGGATGATCCAGAGAGAAGACCAAACTTGGATATTAGATATTGAAAGCATGGTCTTAGTAGGGGTTTGGTAAAAGCATCTGCCACACGGAGAGTGCCTTGTTCACCGAGTGAAAAACTGGGTTTGCTGTATATGAAGTTGCACTTAAGTTATCACAGTAGATGGTAGGGATGATTTCCAATGAGTAACCAAGTTCACTAAGTAAAGTTGTAAGCCATTGAACTTTTGTGTCGTAGAAACAACTCTAAATTCAACTTCAGTAGAGCTTCTTGCAAGGGTACTTTGGTACTTTTGAGCTCCATCAGATAGGATAAGAGCCAAGATAGGCTATGTAACCGATGCTACTTCTGTAATTATCTTTGTCTCCAACCCAATCCGCATCAGTGAATGCATGGAGTGTTAGTGGTGAGTTATGACGCAATCTTATTCCGTGATATAGAGGGCAATGTGAGTATCATCATAAGTTTTTGATAGCTATCCAATGGAGAAAACTTTGTGCATGCTAAAATTGTGTAAAGTGATTCATAGTCAATGAGATATCAGTTCTGGTTAAGGACAAGTATTGCAGTGCTCCAACTAGTGTACGATATTCAGTTGGAGAAGGGTGAAGTGAGCCACCTTTTAACGTGAGAGTTGTAGAAGCCGTTATTGGAGTGGAAATTGGTTTGCAATCCCTCATATTGGCTTTTGTGAGAATATGAAGGATATATTTACGTTGAGAAAAGAGAATACCATGAGAGTGAGGAATCACTTCAACACCTAAGAAGTATGAGAGAGTACCAAGATCCTTTAAAGAGAATTTGTTGTAAAGATGATTGACAAAATTTGAGAGATGAGTGGGAGATGACATGTGACAATTATGTCATCTACGTAGACGAGGACGAGAGGAAGTGATGATTCAGTTTTGAGAATGAAGAGTGAGGGATCAAATATGGTGGGTTTGAAAGCAAGAGAAGTGAGATATGATTTTAGTTCAGCATACCAGGCACGAGAAGCTTGGCGTAACTTCTAGATGGCTTTATTGAGTTTGCAAACATAGGTTGGAAGGTCATATTTGACAAAACTATGAGGTTGCATCATATATACATTTTCATGAAGGTGTCCTTGCAAAAAAACGTTATTGATGTCCAGTTGTCTAAGAGGCCAATTTTGAGAGATGGCTAAGGAAAGAACAAGACGTTAAGTTTTAGGTTTACGGACTGGACTAAAGGTCTCTCTGTAATCGATTAGTGGACGTTGATGAAAACCCTTAGCAACAAGATGGGCTTTTAATCTATCAACGGGGCCATCTAGTTTGTATTTAGTTCAGTAAATCCAATTCCAACCAATTAGATTTTGGGTGTGAGATGGTGGTACAAGGGACCATGTTTGATTTTTTTTGAAGTGCATTAAACTCTTCTTGCATGGCAGAACAGCATGAAGGATTTTTGAGTGCTTGTGAAATAGTGTTTGGTTCGGTGGGATATGGAGGTTCAGATGTGTATTGTTGAAAATCAGAGTTGGAGTATTTTGGGTTAGCTTTGGGATTGGGCAGAGTAGTTATTTTAGAATGGGGAGGAGTATCTTCGATGTTGAGAGAGGGAGGAGGAGGTTGGATAAGTGAAGGAGCGAGAGGAGATGGTGGGGATGCAGGGGAGGTTATGGCAAAGTATGTTGGTTGGGGAAGGACCAGAGGTAATATAAATTGAGAAAGAAAGCCATTGATTTTGATTAGTTACATTAGGAGGTGGGTGGTTGTTGCTGAGTTTTGAAAATGGAAACTCCTCTTCAACAAAAATGGCATGGCAGGCAATGTAGAGTATATAAGATTTTGGATCATATGTATAATCGGCACTTTGAGTTGGTGAGTATCCAACAAAGACACAGGAAGTAGATCTAGGATGAAGTTTATGTGCGGAGTAGGGTCTTAGCCAGGGATAGCATAAGCATCCAAAACATTTTAGCTTTACATACTTTGGTTCTTTTGGAATAGGCATTAGAAAAGAGACAAGTAATGGAGAGTGGATGTTGGTAAGCGATTGATCAGATAGGCAGTAGTAGTGAATGCAAAAGGCCAAAATGTAATAGGGATGCTAGCATGAGAGAGGAGTGCTAGTCCAGTTCTGGCAATGTGTCTGTAACGCCCGTAGATCCGGGCTAGTCAATTTAGAGATAATAAGGGTCGAAAACAACTTTTCGACAAAAGATCATTTAGAATAAATAATCTTAACCAAGTTGTAGAATATGTCTCATGAGTTCCGTACATATAAAGAGCGCTGAAATCCGAGTTATAACGAAGAAGTTATGACCTGTCGAAGTTTAGCGACGGAACCGACACGGCACCGCGAAGACTTAAATAGTGAATTTATGATAGAGCTTCTTTTAGCCATAGTAATCTAAATGAAAGTAGTAGAATATGTTAACCTGAGAGCGTCCATAAAAAAACGCCCAAATCTGACTTCATATGAGGAAGTTATGATTTTTCGAAGTTTCGGTTTAGCGGTGTACAGCCTGAAGTTCGAGTATTAGATCGAGCAGTTTTTAGCCGACACAACCTAAACGAGAATCGAAGATCTCATTATTAGTAGCGTAACGATAAAAAGACAGATGAAAATGGACATTGGATAAAGAAGTTATGAGAATTTAACGGACCAATCCTGTTCCGGCCTGTTAAAAATATAACTTTAAAAATAAAGTCAAAATTAGCCGACGGAGTCTAAACAAAAGTTGAAGAGTACGTCTCCACCTACGCTTGGATATAAAGAACGTCAAAAACGGAGTTCGTATGAACAAGTTACAAATTATAATAGCATATTTACGTATTAAAATAAAGTATAAATCATATATACGTACACATATATATACATATGTATATATCATTAGAAAGGTATCGACGACGCGGTCATTATAAGACTAATGTTGAGTTCTTTCGACATTAGTTTAGTAAAAATATCGTTAAATCTATTTAAAATAGTATTATAAAGGGGTGTTTAGTTGTTTATATAACTAAAAGACCATTAAGTAATTATGGAGGGTAGTTTTTGTAAATTCAATTACTATAAACAAGAGGCTTGAGCTCTTATATTTCTTGCACCATTCTCTTGATTCAAAAGTCTTTCTCTCCTTATCCCCCGAGCATTTCGGTCCCTCGTGATTCGACTTATGTTTCTGTAGTTTTTAGTATAGTAAGGTGAGCGCTGAAGCGCTGCACGAATCTTTCTTAGAAAGATTCAGCGACGAAGTTCTGCCCCTGCAGAGCCTGACTCCTAGCTAAAATCCCCTTGTAAGTAAGCTATGCTTACCCTATTTTAATATAGCTTATATTTAAAATTAATATTGCTATTATGAAATTATAATAAATATTTGAGCTATTATTATGACTTATATAAGTGTCGTTATAATATCTTTTTAGCTACTCGCGGTACGGGGAATCTGGTTTAAAGGGCCGCATAGGGTTGTTGGATTTTAGAAGTGTTATATGCCAAAATGGTCCTGCCCTCCGGTGTTTTATGTCTGGCCCATGTCTGTACATAGTGGTTGGAAAGTATTGTTTAAACGCTTATATAATAATAATAATAAGACTAATAATTAGTCACGGTAAATATT